CACATTCCGTATTGCATATAAAGCAACAGCAAAATTTAATTGCCTGTTTTGGCCAAAAGTCTTTTGGCATATTAATGTGAATTTAATTTAAAATTAAATTGAATTTTATCACTCTGATGCAGGCAATGACTGAAAGGCTTCAGGCATCAGGGTAAACGGGGAGTCCGATCTAATTAAAATAAAATCAAGCGATTCTTATCAGCAGCTCGACAAAAGTGTCGCCTCGCGCGCTTTGAAATGCGAAAGTGCGCCCCATTATCAGGCAGATCTATCGTCAGTGAGCACACGCACACATACATATGTACACATATACGCGTGCGACAGTGAGACGCCATTTTATATTTATGTAAGTGCGAATACATAGAGTACAGTAGTATATAGTGCTTGTAAATAGTATATATACTATATTAGCTATATTACTTTAAACTAAGATGGAAAATACTTTAGTACACATTTTAGATCTGCTATAGAGAACGCTTAAGGTTATATGTAATTTGAAATATTTTATTCATTTGTTATTTATAACTCTTTCATCTTAAAAGCTGAAACTGCATTTGAGAAAATTGTATATGAATCAAGCTAATGTCTTTTTCTAACTAAATCGTGTTACCAGCATAATTTTAATATGTTTTCTTTGGGAAATATTATTTTAAGAAAAAATCGCATTCAATTTACAATTAACAACATTATAACAAGTAAGCATAATTTCGGCACTTCGAAGTTTTCAGATATATGAGAAAAGTGAAGCTCGTAAATGCAGAGCTTGATGAAAATATCTTGGAAAACAGAAAATATCTTGCCATACAAGAACCTGCCGATCGTTCCTATATGGCAGCTATATGATATGGTGTTCTGTTTGGGGTCGGAGAAGTCTTCTTCTTAAATTACCTCCTACATGGGATTAAAAGGGCAATAATTCTGCTTAAAATTATTTTTAGCAAGAAATTCGAACATATTTTTTTTTAGAGAACATTTGAATTTAAAAAGATATATTTACAAAGAGAAAAATTGAATTATATTATTATGCTAATATAATATACTGAACATATAAGAACATTTATGTAACTTGTAACATAACAGTAATATGTAACATAACAGTAACATATATGTAGGGATAGATTTTCCGTCCATCTATCTTTTTATAGTTTAATATCAGGGAACAATGGCTTTTATTCACTTAATAGGTTTATTACTCATTGGTGCATTGATATATTTCTGTTCTTATTGTTGTCAACGAGATCAAACGCGCATCCCTTCGCTTCAGAAGTTCAAACCCTACTATTATCCACTGTTACTCCTCTGTTAAATAATATACTTCTAACATTTTTACGGCCGCTACAGGCTCTCAGCGATAATACGAGTCCTTCATATATATAACATTTGTTAAAACTAATATAGGTTTTTGTAATCAACATTTTCATTTGAAAAATTAAGCCTTTCTTTTGTCTAGAGCTCTAAGCTAGTGTCTAATTATAAATTCATCCGGTTACCTATTAAGCTGCCCCCATTAATAAAGCTGCACACAGATGCGCAGTTCGAGTAAGCCACGAGTTTCTTTCGCTCAACATGCTCTTTATGCTTATTGTGTCTCATCTTGTGCCTCCATTTCCAGCAATCAACGTGCAACTTACGGGGCGGGAGCAACAAAATTTTAAATCAACTTTAATTGAAATAAATTGTCATATCATTTGCGCTCGCGTAGAAAACAGACCCGCTGTCAGCAATTTACAAAAAAATATACACAAAACTGGAAAATATGTGGGCTATGTACTGGCATATCTCTCTGTCACCCCCTCCTGCTGCTCGAGTGCTACTTAAAAATGACCATAAATTAAAGCCATCAATCAAGCAAATTGAAAATATTGAAATATGTTTATGATATGACAGAATTTTCCAAAAATCTCCCCTGACCCACTCTCACTCTCTCTCTCCCTCTCTCTCTCTTTTTAACATTAACTAGACTGATGGCCAATTGGATAAAATGTCGGAAAAAGTAAAAGCCTAAAAGCAGCAGCTGTCTTCCAACTTGATTGAAATGTAACATTATCCAGTTGGCCAAGTGAAAGTAACTTAATGTAAGCATCTAATGGCTTCTTTTTTTTTTGTTAATTTAGATATTTGTGCCAATTGCGTCATCGGCAATAAACAAATAGCATAATGTTTAGTCATAAACCTACGTTAGTTAAGGTCGCTTGTTATCGAGATCCGTTGATCATAAACAAAATAAAAAACTCACCAACTTTGCGGTTAAGTGCGCACGCACAATGGAACCAACTAGTAGCTGCTAGTGCCACCCATCCCCCACCCACTGCATGGTGCCCCGTGCCCCGTTCCCCCGTGCTGGCTGCGTAACAACAATTTACGGCAGCGCAGTTTATGCAATTTATGTGCAATTTTTCAATTGTGGCTCCGACAAACGGCAAACCGGAAGATTTCGTTCGTTTGAACAACTCAGTTTTTATGCAGTAAGGGTATTAAAATACTGTCACGAAATATGTAACACATAAGAGACAACTTGTAAAGAATCGGAAAGCTATATTCTAGAGCAGTCACAGAATAATCCATTGAAAATAAGCTTCTTACAAGAAAGGTTACTTGTTTGGCATTTACTTAATTGAGAATGCTTATATCATTAATTTTGGCTTGATCAGGAAGTTTTATAATATTGTCACGATATATGTAATACAGGAGATATTTCGGGCTTATACATATAAATATATATAAACCGTTTGTCAGAATTTTATCCAAATCGGCAGACTATCATATAATTCTATTGGTAGCATCGGTTGACAAATAAGTTTTTGTATAAAGAGTATTTAATCTTCTTCTTTCTAATGCGTTGCTTTCCCCTCCTTTTGCACAAAGTTGCAATTTTAGTCACATAATGCCAGATTAATGTTACATGCGCGATATGTGAAAATTTAGTTGTTGCTCTGACGTCAACAACTTTTAATCGCAATTAATTAGAATGACATTTGTAATACGTCGAACGACAGATCTGGCTAATGTGATTAGAAATTACTAATAAATCATAGTGCGGAATATCAAATGCAATTAGCATTCGTTTAAACTTTAAACTAGAAACATGTTTACACAAAGTAGAATGTAGTTGCGAGTGCTTCTAAATTATTGAGAAGGAAAGTTTTAAATGGAGTTACTTAGTTAAGGATGAGATCAAACAGAAACAGGTTTTATGTACTCATACTATACGTTGGGGTTGTGAACATGATGGAAGACAATTTTTCAAAGTAAATACATGTAGGGCTGGCATCTCTGCCAGATTGAGAGATAGATGGGAGCCTATTGCCTATGATATGTAACTGGAGGGAATGATAACAGGAGCAGGAATGAGAGTTGGTATAGAGTTTCTCGAGCGATCTCGTTGACTACAATAAGAATAGAAATACATCATTGCACCAGTAAGAAATTCATTTATGAAGTGGATGAAGTTTTTATATTTGTGTTTTCCTGTGGATAACATCCCATTGCTTGATCAGTTTTAGATCGGTTTTAAGCTCTTTAACTAACTTTGAAGTAGTGTAATGTATCTATTATAAGCCATTATATCACTTTGATTAAAACATCTGGCATGGGTTCCAATTTTACGGCCCTGTTTTATCCTATCCTGATAGATAGTCTCTATAGATATCTAACTCTAACTGACAATAAAATTTACCAGTTTCCCATTTTTTTCGCCGAATATCTGATTAAGTAGGCCACCAAAAACTAGACGCACTTCGAACAAATTCGCGTGAAATCAAAACGAACTTCGTTCAATTCGTGACATCATATAAAACTAGACAAACTCATGTCGTTAGATGTTAATCTCTAGATACACACTCACACTCATACACATACACATACACACAAGGCATAGATACAATTCCAGTTTCATTTATCAACATTCAAATCATGGCTGTGTAGTCAACTTCCTTATCAATCATGCAACATTTCTATAAAACCCATACATTTGCATTTAAATGAGAAACGTACCTGCAAAAAGAGAAAAAAAAGAAGCAAATCCAAATAAATTAATAATATGACAAATTGTCGTATCACAATTTGCATAAGATATTATTTTTTGAATATTCTTCGAGCGCATATATTACGTGGGAAAATGTTGAAAGCGAGAAACGGGCGCCAAAAGTTGACACATGAATGTATCAAATGATATGGGGAATGCACAAAATATCACAAAAAATAAATAAATACAAATTCGCTTACGGCACAGCCAAACCGATGAAGTATCAACAAATTAAAGCCGCAAGTCGACCCGCATTTTGAGCTATCAAATTACCAGAGACCGCCCGTTCGCTTTAGATACAGATACAGATACAGATCCCCATGAGAGAGAGAGAGCGAACGTGCTTTGGGTTAGGCGCTTTTGAAACTGAACCGTTTACGCGCACTGACAAAAAGAAGAAGAAATGTTTTGAAGTAGAAGCAAAATCAACAAAGGCAGCGGGGGGAAACGAAACGTTTTCGGCACACGTGTGAATACAATGCTTAACATACATATTTGTTGTTGTCTATGTAAATAGGTAAACAAATCCAAAGCGACCAAGCGAGAGAGGAAGAGGGAGAGACTAAGAGAGAGAGAGAGAGTGAGATAGCGCGGCTTGACTAATAAGCGACAACACAAATACACGCTTAAGAATTTGCCTTTGCCTGCAATTGAGAGTGAAAACAACGGTAGTTTGTTGAAGCAGTAAAAGCTGCTATTAAGCTACGATTAAAAAGTGCACAAGTGAGAGCGAGCGAGAGAGAGAGAGAGAGAGAGAGAGAGAGAGAGAGGGGGACAAACAAAAAACGGCAGCTAGAAAAAACAAACATACAACGGCTTTGAGCTGTCGTTTGTTGCGTTTGTCACAATATTTATAGTGTGCACTGTAATGTGTATGCGGCCGTTGTTGCTTGACCTGTGTACAGTGCCTGTCACCATAATGTCCACTCTTATACGAGATAATGTGTCTTGGTTTGGGTTTAGTTTGTTTGCTTACCGGATAATACATTCCTTGCGGAGGAAGAAAAAATGCCCCGGAGCCCCACAGTTTGACGGCTTTTTGTGTTTACAGTTGCGTCGCAAATTATATGCACAGCTGAGACCAACAAATAACGTGCTGGATTCCTACTGGGAATAGTCTACACTCTGTAAATAGGGGTAGTCACACTTCTTGTTGCACTTTAATTAATACCGAATTTGATTTGACGTCGCATTTGTTGTATTTGATTTAGTTGTTTTATTCATTAATTTTATATATTGAGTATTTGCTTTTACAATATACTTTTTGGCACAATTTACAATTTGAGTGAATTTCACTTGGGAGTTAGTCGCAGTTCACGATTTGATTGAATTGAACTGAAAATACATATTCGAAATGTTTTTGAGGATTAAACGAGAATCCCAGAAATAAGGCAAAATAAAAAAATATATATTCGAACAATTATGAAGATCTTTAAAAACTGAAAAGAAGATGTTCGAATTTCCCAAACAAAAAAAATATCACATCTGGACGAGTTTCAGATCATGTATGTATATGCACTGCCCGAGAACATAAATATATTAAGTCGTTTATATTTTAAGACGATTTTCACAGACGATTCTTTTTTTTTTTTTTTTTTTTTTTTTGCCGAATTTTACGACTTTCACAATTTTGGAATGCCTTCTGCGCAGTTTACTTAATGTATGTAAGTATTTATATTCCGATGTTTTTGAACGTTTTTACGGAATAATATTGTAAAACTAATTGTTGTTTAGGGGTTGCTCTCTCGTCCAACTGGGCAAAGGATGTTGGACGGCGGCTGTGGCTGTGGCTGTGGCAAGCGAAACGAAACGAAAACAGAAAATGCGCAAAAAGACGGAATGAAAACACAGCGCAAACGCGAGACAAAAGAGACCAGGCAAAAGGCATGAGAGACAACCACGCGCTTTTATCGAGGGGCGGGAACAGGGGCAGGGGCAGACGCAGCCTAAGTTTCCAGTTGAATGAAATGATGTGTTTATAAAATAAATATAAAAAAATATATCTATTGCGAATTGCGATGTCACTGTGAACGTTCTTGTTATTGGCTGGTTTATTTAGCGATAAGTCTTCACGTATTTTTTTTATATATTTTTTCCCTTTGCGGCATATCCGAGCAGAAGGCGTCCCACAAAGGCAACGCTTTGTCTGTGGCCATCGGAAAACGGGCGCAAAAACATTTTACATTTTTGTGGCGCATTGTTATTGTTGTTGTTGTTGTTTTTGCTTTGTTGATTTGCAGCCCGATGCAATTTTTGGTAATGCGACGGCAACACATTATTCTCTCTTACGAGGCGACATCATCATCTGGCACACACATTTTATTTTCGTTGATTGAATGGGAAAGACAAAGCGCAGCACCGACAAGCAGCTGAGCGTGTGTTCGTATTGGTGTTGGTGTTGGTGTGACGGTGTGTGCGTGTTTGTGGATGCTGATGCCGCCGCCAACAGAAAGAGCGAGAGAGAGATGTGAAAAATCGAATCAGAAAAAGAGTCATGCGAATATTGGAGCGAATGGCAGTGCGAAAAGGATCAAAGGATAAACAAGGAGGCGCAGCAGCCATGAAACGTAAACGAAGCGCAAAAAGCAGCGAGCGAAAAATGTGCGCAAAATAAATTGCGAAGGGAGCAGAGGAAAGACGGACAAAAACATGTGGCACATTGAATGAATTTTTATATATACACATATATATATATATATATATATATACATATATAGTTTTTTTTTGTATGAGCAATGATGCTGCCAGCGGGCGTACGGCCGAAGAGGGAAGGTAGAACAGACAGGCACAAGAGAAATCACGTCCCTCGCGCCTGTCTGACTATGTGACGTTGCCGCTGCCGCTGCTGCTGCTGCCGCTGCCGAGAGAGATGGCATATATATTTATTTTTAACTTTTCATTTCATTTTGTATCTGTACGTTGTACGTTGCCGATTCCGATTTGTATATATGTATGCTTGAACATAGCTCGTTGTTGCACTGCACTTTTATTTCAAATTTGAAAGCACTTGACGTTGTTTTTCTTCTTATTTTCATTGTATTTTCATCTAAAAACGTATTTGGATTTGGTTTTGTTGCTTGGCACACATGAATTACATGTTTTGTAATTATTCGATTGCGATTGGCAGAGACACAAAAACTTAAACCTAAAGGCGTGCAATTTTTTTTTTCACTTTAAAGCGTCTTCAGCTCCCACGACTTGTTGAGAAGAGCGAGAATAGACAACTACAATTCGTAGGGAAATACGCGCGCAATGCTTAAATTTACCGCAGCAACTATCGAAGACGTCCGCTCGCAACGAGAAATGAAATGCGAATGAGTGATGAAAAAGAAGAGCGCAACTACTGAGGATGCGAGCATAGCTGAGCGCGGCAGAAGGTTTTGTGCGTTGCGCAAATTGAGAGAATGAAGGCGACTCACGGCTCAGAGAGAGTGAGAGAGAGAAAACAAACCTTTATATGTTTTGCAACACTGTTATACATTTGGCGCCTAATTTGAGTTTAGCCAATAAATTGTTGATTGTGTGTTTATGCAATCCGTAAATGTGATGAGTTGACCGACAATTTTTTCAAAAATATTATAGTTATATAATAGTCGGTAAAAAAAAGGGTTGCCTTACCTAGTTTCATATGAAGGCAGGAGCGCTCTTATTGCAGATACTCCAAACAGTAACAGTGCTGTTGAGTTAACAGGCCAGCTTTAACAGCGCTGTTATTCAATTGCACTTATCGATAGCTTGCTTAGCGCGGCAAAATATTATAACACTCGAAATTAAAATCAAGCAAAAACAATTAAATAAATTATGTAATTTTAAAGTGAGTGAATAAAATTAAATAAAATCCAATAAAAAAAATATAGCTGATGCACAACGCATGCGAAACCATTTAAAGAGATGTTCTTTTTGCCGTCTAGCTTCTAGTTTTATTTTCTTTCTGGCCAGAGGATACTTGCCATGCACAGACAATTTCGCACAGAATGTTAATGACATCAAAGAGTGAACTCTCCGCGCCCGATCATGTTGTCATGTGGTTCAACAAACAGAGTCCTGTGTTGCCTCCTCCACTTGCCACATGCGTGTCCAACAAATCAGAAATGCGCCATGACTGCAATAAAACCAAATCAAAAGCGACATGCCTCATTTTCGGCTGCCCAACAACATGACTGACGCGTTGTCAAGATTGCATTAGCCGTGTGTGGACACCAGGCAGGCGGGATGGTCCTCGCTTTGCCAGGACTACAGCTGCCATGGCAAGGCGTGCGAGGCTTATTAAACAGCCGCCCGAGCTGGCGGGCGTCAGAGCAGGAGCCAGATTTAAAATGCAAATAGCCTCACGAGTTAACAGCGCCCCATTCGACTGAGCTGCCGCTGGTGGCAATTTCTCCACTGTGCGTTCAAGTGACTGCATCCGGCCGTATCCTCGAGCTGGCACCGTCAGATACTCGTAGCTCTATCGGCGCGAAGCGACACCCTCTGCCCCCCACGCTGCGTTATGTCGTGTGCTTTTGTTGTTTTGGTTCTCGAGCTGCTTGCAAATATGCAAATGCCGTCAAGCTGGCAACTTTTTAATCCCGGTTGGCCGGCAAATTGTCGCCCCAACAGGGCTCTGCTGTTAAGCGGCTTCGCCTGCAGCAGCTGATAAATGCAGGGTATATAACCCATATAGAAATCACAAATGCAAAAGGCATACTGTATAAAAACCATATGAAAAGAGCCCAAGAGCTCTAGAGAAAGCAAAGAGCTTGTAAGAATGTCCTTTCAGCAATATCTAGTATTTTTGGCTTAACTGCAATGCTAGCTGTTAACAGTTAACAGCTTAACAGTCGCATAACATAAACTGAGCAATTTGGTAACATTTTCTTGAATCTTAAGCTATAGAAAGAGTGCCTAAAGCACGCACACATAATTCATCGTATTTTCTCTTTGATTTTTACATGGTCTTTCGAAAGTAAACTATTTTCATTTAACAGTTGCATAACCTGTGCATTTTTTGCACTGTAAACGGTAAAAAGCCTAGGAACTCACACAGAATCGTCCAGAACAATTTCTTTACTTCATCTTGAAGCTTAAACTATAGAAAGCCTCAGGGCTCACACATAATCCACCATAATTTCGCTTTGTTTTTTAAGATGGCCTTTTGCAACTGAACTATTTTTTGCGTTAAATTCAATCTGTTTTTTTTTTTGTTTTCAGGACTTAAGACAGCGCAGCGAACCGCAGAGACCTGAGAAAACTAACACAGAGTTGTTGCTGCCGCCCCAAAGTGGGAAAACATTGGGAGACAGAGAGTTGATATATGAATGGGTGGCCGGGCTGGCCAGAGGCGGGGCTGGGTCGTTGCGAGTGGCCAACAAACCGCAAACAATAACAAACGATGGCCAAGGCGAAACACAAACAGAAACCGAAACAGACGCTGCCTGCTGATGACGCCTACAAAATGGCTACAAAGGAAAGCAGCACAAGATTCGGTTTAGTGGTCGGCAGCGGGCGACAGGGCTGGGTTAGGCAGGCGCCCTGCACAGGGGGCGTGCTGTGCCATTTGAAAGCAAAAAGGATTTATGATGCTTGTTATCGCACAGCCGGAACGACGCGAAGCGACGCGAGGCAAACGATGACAAAAGGTGGCCAAAGGAAACGAATACACAAAATGGATACACGCACAGGGGGGCTGTAAACGTAGGTGTTCGTGTGCATTAATGTGAGTGTGTGTGTGTGTGTGCGTGTGTGTGTGTGTGTGGCAACAGCTTGGCAATGGCGCGTAACGCAGATAAGATCTACACGCACAGCAAAAGCATTGCATACTTTTCGGCATGCGCTCGTAAAACGCAAGGCAAACATGTGTTCATTCAGTTGTAGCTAAATTATTATTGCTGTTGTCGTTGTTGTTGTTTTTGTTGTTGTTGCTGTTGTTATTGCTGCCTGCCACATGAGTAAACTAATCGCATGAAAACATACACATATATGTATGTATTTGACTGGACTGTAGCTCAGGTGTTACCGCTATTACCTCCCACCTATCCAAGAGAAGCTGCGTGTGTTGGGCATAAAATTTACATTAATTAAATTTCAAAATAGGCTGCCGATAGGTTGCTCCTAATTAAATGGAAAAAAAAGAAAAAAAAAGTTATATATGCATGCATAAAAGCAAAAGTTGCCATTAAGAGCGCCTAAAAGTATCTATTAGGCTGGCAGCGTTGGCTGACGGACGAGGGGTACGGAGGGAGCCTAAATTAGTCAATAAATTAAAGCACGCTGAATGGCAAGGAGCCTGCAGGCAGGAGCCCGGAGCCAGCAGCACTTGGAGCAACCATAACGAGCCAAAAACATTGCATTAAAAAATCCATTCATTAAAATGGCAAAACGTGGCACAAAATTTATGGCCCGGGCAGAAGTCGACGGCGTCGACGGCGTCGACTTCGTTGGGCAGGCGGTCGTCTCAAGTGGCAGCGCATTTACTTCGAGCTTGCCACAAAGAGCAGCTTTCAACAGCAACAACAGCTATACAAGTGGACAGGTAAACATTGCGGCAACAACAGAGAAGACTCTTTAACTCTCTTAAAGTGTTACAGTTCCAAATACCGCAACGACAATAAACATGGTATTAATTCTATTAAAAAACTCAGCAAGAAATTAAGCTTCAATTTAAAGCTTTCATCAGCAATTTTGTAGTTTCTTTATCTATCCTTACCAATAAATTAAAAGCTAAATCATAAAGTTCTAAGCTTTCTTACTCTATCCTCATAAAATATGAGCAAAAGCACATTAAAGCTTCATTGGGTATAAAATGTGTTTAATTTTTAAAATTCTCAAGTTGTACCCATGAAGCTCTACTCGAATCACATTAAATCTTCAAGTAAAATTGATTGAAAGCTCTTTCAAACTGCATATTGTGCTTAGTTAAGGCTTAATTTGTGATAAGTAGTTCCTATGGCAGCTATATGATAAAGTAGTCCGATCCGGTTAGTCCATTATCTAATAGTAATCTATAAAAGTTCCTAATTTTAAGCAAATGTCAACCGGGCATAACGGTTGCTTTTGGGCGTGGCTGATTGCAGGACGCGTCAGTTCAATGCGCTCGTCCTGCACACTCAATTATAATTTGCTTAGACAGACAAACAGCCCCAGAGCCCGGCACAGGGGCCCGGTTTGAGGCCTTCAGGGAGATGCGGCGCACTCGTCGTCGCATTAGTAAAGAGCAACAGCCTCATATATGAATATATTTATGTGCATGTGTGTGTGAATATATAGCTGACTATATATGAGAATGTATGGCGGACTCAACGGAAGGACGCCGAAAAGTGTGCAGCATTTGCAAAAGTTAAAAGCATTTGTCGGTTTATCAGGCCCGCACATCCCACATGACCCCACATCAACCCACAGCCTTAAAACTCTTTTGACTCGAACCGCTTTTTACTCATTTCATTTCACTTCATTCTGTTACGAGTCTATCATTACGTTTCGTATACTAAATGAAATGAGTTACAAAAAGGAGTACGTTTTTTTCACTTCAATCACAATTAGTTGACACCCCTGCACGGCATTTAAAGCATTGATTAAAGAAGTCATGATAAATAAATGAAGACCTGGATGATTTAATATTTGCTTATGTAATTAAAATCTTTAACAATTAGAACAGCCGTAAAGAAAAAAAAAAATTACACTAGCTTTTGCAAGGATTTGGTGGGTGATGTTTTGGTGCTCAAATTAAATTTTCAAGGATCTTTATGGAGAATCATGTGTCACACATTTTGAATTTTTAAGTTTTTTTGTGGGCAATTGTAAATTTTGTCCGAAAAACTTCAAATTTGCTTTCAACGATTACAAGAAACTAAAAACCTTCTTTGATAAGCAAATTGTCAACCACAATGTATTTTTGGACTTGACGATTGTCACCATAAGGCTAACGTAGACAAAGGCAAACTATCAATTTATTATTCGATTGACCTTAAGCATATTTTCTAATAGATTACAGTCTTCACAAGCGGGCACATAGTGAAAAGTTATGTCTGAAATGTTCAACAGAAAACTACCCACGGGCAAGGCCGGGCAATGCCCGCTGGTATATTTTATATTCATATAGTCCCCATAAATGCCAGCCTTTATATATTATGTACAAGAGTGTCGAGACCTCAAGATGTAATAAATACTTACAACTATAATAAACTTGTTAATCAAGGACTTATTTATACGCAATAATTCCCATGCCAAGTGCCAAACACATAATT